AAAGTGTATTGGTTTCGGCTCACACATCAGCCGGTAAAACTGTGGTAGCTGAATACGCTATCGCTAAGTCCCTTAATTGCAAACAACGTGTCATCTATACCACACCTATTAAGGCATTGTCCAATCAAAAGTACAGAATTTAGTGAAGAATTTAAAGATGTGGGTCTGGTTACGGGTGATGTTACAATTAACCCCTCAGCTTCTTGCCTTATTATGACTACAGAGATTTTGCGTAACATGTTATATCGTGGTAGTGAAATTATGCGTGAAGTCGGTTGGGTTGTTTTCGATGAAATCCATTACATGCGTGACAAAGAACGTGGTGTTGTGTGGGAAGAAACCTTGATCCTGTTGCCCGATAACGTTCGTTATGTGTTCCTTTCTGCCACAATTCCTAATGCCCGACAATTTGCTGAGTGGGTTTGTCATTTGCATAAGCAACCGTGTCACGTCGTCTACACTGATTATCGTCCTACGCCCTTGCAGCACTACATATTTCCGGCTGGTGGCGATGGTATACATTTAATTGTTGATGAAAAAGGTCAATTTAAGGAAGATAATTTTAAAACTGCTATGGCTGTCTTACAAAATGCTGGTAAGTAATCAATATTTACATTTCCATATGTGTAAGTCGTGAGTCACCACAGTATTAAAAAAAGTATAGACTTAACTAGTTTTTCAGCAGCTCTTCCAATTCCTTACAACTTAGGTTCAAAAATATGACAACTTATTTTAATATTTTTCTCTTCCATTCTAGGTGAAGCCGCTAAAGGTGATCAAAAAGGTCGTAAAGGTGGCATTAAAGGTGTCAACTCTGGCCAATCGAATATCTTCAAAATTGTAAAAATGATAATGGAACGGAATTTTGCCCCCGTAATCATTTTCTCATTCAGTAAAAAAGACTGTGAGGTGTATGCCATGCAAATGGCGAAATTAGATTTCAATACTGCCGAGGAAAAGAAATTAGTCGACGAAGTCTTCAACAATGCTTTGGATGTACTATCGGAAGAAGATCGTCAATTACCCCAAGTTGAGAATGTTTTACCACTACTTCGTCGAGGTATTGGCATACATCATGGTGGTCTATTGCCAATTCTTAAGGAAATTATTGAAATCTTGTTCGGTGAAGGTCTACTTAAAGCATTATTTGCTACTGAAACGTTTGCTATGGGTCTAAACATGCCGGCCAGAACGGTTCTTTTCACAGCACCTAGAAAATTTGATGGCAAAGATTTTCGTTGGATTTCCTCGGGTGAATATATTCAAATGGCAGGCCGTGCCGGTCGTCGTGGTTTGGATGACAAAGGTATTGTTATATTAATGATTGATGAAAAGGTGTCACCAGCAGTCGGAAGAGGTATCGTTCAAGGAAAAGCGGATCCCATCAATTCTGCTTTCCACTTAACCTATAATATGGTTTTAAATCTGCTGAGAGTGGATGAAATCAATCCCGAATATATGTTGGAACGATCATTCTTTCAGTTCCAAAACCAGTCCTCCATTCCAGACTTATATAAAGAGGTACAAGAAAAACAAAAGGAACTGGAGAAGTTTAAAATAAATGAAGAACATAGTGTAGCTTCGTATCATCACATTCGCGACCAACTTGATTCATTGGGTAAACAATTTCGAACCTGGATTACAAAACCAGAATATCTAGTACCATATCTTCAACCCGGACGTCTGGTAAAAGTCAAAAACGATACAGAGGAATATGACTGGGGTATAGTGGTTAATTTTAAGAAGCAGACAAGTAAAACTAAAAATCCTTTACAAGCTGAAACATCTGTAATTGTCGATGTCCTGTTACATGTATCGGAAGAGTCGTCCAAAAACGATGATCCAAAGCCTTGCAAGCCCGGTCAAAAAGGAAACATGGAGGTTGTTCCAGTTGTACATAAACTTATATCACAAATATCATCACTGAGAGTGTATTATCCTAATGATTTAAGACCGGCCGATAACCGCAGATCAGTCCTAAAAACAATAAAAGAAGTGAAGAACCGTTTCCCGAAGGGACCTCCACTGCTAAATCCAATTACTGAAATGAACATTAAGGATCCAGAATTTAAGAATATTGTGGACTCCATAGCTAAATTCGAAGAGAGATTATTTGCCCATCCCCTACATAATTCACCTGAATTGGATCGCATCTATGCTCTGTACACCCAAAAATTAAAAGTTATGGAAGAATTGAAGACAGCCAAAGCTAAGCTAAAAGAGGCAAGAAGCCTTCTTCAAATGGACGAACTAAAGCATCGTAAACGTATTCTTCGACGAATGGAATACTGTACTGCCCAAGATGTTATTGAATTCAAGGGTCGTGTGGCTTGTGAACTTAGTTCTGCCGATGAACTACTAATGACTGAAATGATTTTCAATGGTGTGTTCAATGACTTGACAACAGCACAAGCTGTATCCCTACTCTCATGTTTTGTGTGTGATGAAAAGTCCTCCGAAAATCCAACCTCAGCCGAAGAATTATCTGGACCCTTGCGTTCAATGCAAGAATTGGCCCGCCGTATAGCTAAAATTTCAAATGAATGTAAATTGGAATTGGACGAAGAATCGTACGTGGATAAATTCAAGCCCTTCCTTATGGATGTTGTGCTTGCCTGGTGTAAGGGTACATCGTTTTTGAATGTTTGCAAAATGACAGATATTTTTGAGGGATCAATTATTCGTTGTATGCGTCGTTTGGAAGAGCTTTTGCGTCAAATGTGTCAGGCTGCTAAGACGATAGGCAATACAGATTTGGAGAACAAATTTGCCGAAGGTATACGTTTACTGAAACGAGATATTGTTTTTGCTGCCTCATTATATTTATAAGTATAATGATTTCTATTTTTAATGTGACCTTGAAAAGGATTTTTCATTATCCTATTTTAATTTTTTTTAAATAAAATAATTTAAATTATATATTTTTTTTTAAATATACACAATATGTTAGTCAAGGATTATTAAACAAAATTCTTACTTTTACCACAGGAAGTATGGTTTTGTTTTTACAGAAGAATATATATTTTTTTAATTTTCTATTTTAAGATGTCATAAAAATATAAGCTCTTGTAAATTTGAAAACATAAATTGTTTTATTTTGGGTTTTTAGGACAAGAAAAAAAATAGTCTTCTACTAAGATGACGAGACCGGAACCCTCAATACTTCTGGAAAAAGGACAGACTTTGAATTTGGCTGTGCAAGGTACAGTAATTTAATAACTTAAGTCTACAACTGCTTAAAGTAAAATTTGTCAACATATATTTCGAAAATTATGGCACATTTCTTTATGAGAAATTTAAACAACATTTTACCATAATAGTTCAGAGTTTTTATTACCATAATAAGAAAGAGAGTCGTTGAACAATGTAAAGGAAATGGGGTGGTTAGGTACTTCGATGGTATTGAATTTCTATGGTTTTGGAATTGAGTTAAATGGTTTGAAGATGGCGATTTCGAATTCGCATCTATGTCTTGCATAATCAGGAATTTGTTAGATAATACTATATATTGTCATGTATATTTCTAAAATCACCAAGATCTGTAGATTGATTATGCTTGAGTGATAACTGGTAACGCCAGTGCCAATAGCGGACGGGATGTAGAAATTTACAATTTATGCATCTTCACAATGAAATATCCATATAATTTAGGACAAATATTGGAGTGGGAAGAAGCTGACTATTGCAAGCATTTCAGTTGTAAAGATTTCATTAGTAATTCGAGACTTAAGATTACAATTGTAATGTTTCGAAATTCAAATGGAATTCATATCCTAAATTTTTTTACTTACCTTTGATAGTTAAATAAACATTCACAATATACATACATGTATGTATGCTTCAGTTTAGGACATGGACAAGACATAAACAAAAATGATGAGAATGATTGGGAAGACAACACATTTGATGATATATGAAGATTTATTTATATGTCATGGATACTATAAACAAATAAAACGAAAATTAATGTTTAGGGGAATAAATGTGCAATTTGTAAAACGATATATTAGAAAAAGAATTAATAATAGTAATAAAACTAACTTATACATAAATATTATTTTGTTCTCATACAAAATACTTCTATGGTATATGTCAACGATACACGAGTATATAAGACAATTGAACAAATAAACACATCGAAAACATATACAAATATTGGACGGTTTCACTGATATGCGACGATTCACAAATGTACACAAATGATTACAAAACTAATGTTTAAACCTACAAGTACAAGGCATTGTACAAAAAAAAAAAAATAAAATAAAACAAAAAGTTGTATACATTTAATTATAAGTTGAAAAATAAATAAAAATTTAAAAACATTTTTATTTATTTACAAAAGTAACATTATTATTAAACTAATATTAAAATTATTAAAATTGGAATGTTTTGATATGGATTTGTATTCATGGGTTGGTTCTTTTGTTACTTAAAAAACTATATATAATTATAGAAAATTAGTTGCTTAAATGCTTTGTGGTATGTATATGTAGAAATACAAAAATAATATATATATATATATACCTTCCTAATTGTTATCACCTTAAAGATCGTGTTTTTAATATGAACTTAATTGCTACATATTGTCGTTACATACATACTATATTTAATTAAATGTTTCTATATTTATGTTTATAATTTTCTTATAAGCAATTATAAGAATGATCGAAAAATATACCAAGTTTGAATGGATGAACAGATTTGTAATAAAATTTTTTACAAGATAATTTATAACTTGAGGTCAAATTCTTTAAAAATTTTATTCCAATCAATTAATGTGAGTTATTTTCAAAACACAGTTACTGAAAAAAAAACATATCGAATATCTGGACCAGCAGTAACTCTCTAGAATTCGTTTTAATTTACAAATACAAGCTGTTCAATTTAATTTCTTACAGTTATTGCGTTTAATTAAAATTACATTTTGCATAAAGAAATCAACAAACAAAATATAATTTTATTTAAACATTTAATAATTAATATATTCATATTTTATATCTCCCTCTCTAAATGTAACAGTAGCGGAAAAAATATCTATAGATGATACTTTATCTGATATTGTAATATTTAGAGAGCGGTTTCTTATACAGATGTTTGCGGCACACCTTCTATAACTTGAGTACGGGATTGTGATTTCGAAATACCAACCAATGGTTGAACATTTATGCCGGAAGACAATGTGGCTGTAGTTGTCGTTGTCGAACGGGCACTTGGTACAGGTGTTGTACTTCGACTGCTGGGTAATGTTTTTGATGCCGGCTTATAAGTTGGTTCCACGGGAACGGGTGTAGATGACAATGGTATGGGTTCACGTTGTAATAAACGTTTCTCCTCCACTGATTTAGGTTGATTCAAAGAAGCAACCGCAACACCATTCGTTATTACACGTGCTGCTGGTGCAACACTAGCTTCACTACGTGGAGGTCGCGAGTATGGCGATAGAGTACCACCGCCATTGCTTTCCTTAAGCGATATTGCAGATTTCAATGAAGATTGACTGCCACTTGTTTTTTGTGTTGTGGCCAATGAACTGGGAGATCGTATTGATGTGGTATCCGTTAGGACTTTACTGGCTAACGTTTTCGATGATGGAGAATCTCGATATTCGTAGAGGTTGTCACGTGATCGCATCACCTGATGATTTGCAGCTAAATTGGTATTATCAACACCGGTAGTTCGAGATTCATGATCGTATTCGGTGCCATCGTGATTAATGAATACATCTTCATCATAATAACGATCAGATTGTCTAGAATTAAACCAAATTTTTAATAAAAAGTTATACTCAGATAATTGTCTAGTTTTCTTTAAATTCCGTCATATCTTACCTCTTGGCATTTCTCCACATAATGCAACAGATAAAAACTAAAACGATCAAAAAGAAACACGCTACAGACATACTCCAAAATGCTATTTGTAGCGGTTCCTTTGGTTCCCACCAGAATTCAGTGGTGGGTGGATATGTCGGAACAAAGACTCCAATTACTGTTGGCAAGTATTGTGTCCAAAAGGCACTTTCAGTTTGGCGATAATTTAGTAATATCGACGAGTTATAAGTTGTGTTGATATTCAAGTAACGAATTTCACCCTGATAGGCACGTTCGTAATGTAAACCCAAAACTTGTTGAGGAGTAGGGTGACTAAAATTTTATAGCAAAATAAATAGTTATAATTTTTATCAAATGAATAAAATTGTTAAACAACTTACCCATATCGTGCAAAATTCGAAAATGTTTGTAAAAAGAAATGACTCATATTACGATCATTGTCTGTCCACATATTTCTTTCGAGATGGGCACTTTTGGGAAAGAACTCCACGTCCATGAACGGAGCACCGGTCAAGAAATAATGTTCAATGTCATGGGGAT